ACGCGACAAGTTGAGGTTGTTTAGTGAAAACCCTAATTTCTGGGTCTTTGCACCCTATTTAAAGAACTTAACCTCCATTGTAGCCTCCCTTATCATTATTTCATCCAGAGAAAATCCAAGAACAAGTTGTGTATCCTCTTGTGTGTGTCTGAGAGATTAATAAAGTGACTTTTGGGGAGTTTTGGAATGAGACTTGAAGATGTAGAATCTTGGATAACGAAGGAGCCGTAGATCCATCATCTTTTGTGTATTAGTGACCAAACTGAGGTATAAAGCTAATACCTTGACCTATTTTTGCTTAGATCTTCTTTTGGGAGTGTTAATGGCCATTTAGGGGCATAATGGAGCCACTTTCGGGTTTGAGCTTGTTATAAGGACATGGTTTCAAATTTAGACTCCTCTAGGACCCTAGAGTCATAAAGCCATCAACTTTATCAAGTTGGGCCCTCCTCCATGACTTAAATCTCTTATTGAGCATTTTTTTTTGGGTGTTTTAGCCTTGTGAGGTCTTACATGCATGTAAAGTGAGCAACTTTACGTGGTAACTTCATCTAGGAGGTTAGATATGGAGTTTGGAGCACTAGAATCGACTGAAATGAGAAATGGATGATGGAATCGACGGGTTGGAGGACCCAACGCTACGAGTTGAGTCGGTTGTACCGTCCTGAGATTAAGAGTGAACTCGACGAGTTGAGGGGACAACTCGGCGAGTAGCTAGGGTCGTCTTCGATGTTTTAGACTCTGCATGGACTCGACGAGTTGGTAAGACAACTCGGCGAGTTGACCCGAGACTTCTCGATTTCTGAGAGCAGAGGGAACTCGATGAGTCACATAGATGCACTCGACGAGTTAAGTAACCATTGGGTTGTTGACTTAAGTGCTGACTTTTATTGACTTTTAGGGTTTGGTAAACTGTGGACCTTGGAGACCATGGAAGGGTAAAATGCTCTTTTCACCCTTTCTGAGAATTAGTATAGGAGTTAGTTTAATATTTATATAATTGTTAAGTAGAGATAATTGTGATATGTGTAGGCGGAGTTTAGACCAGGATCTCGAGTCTGGGTTACACTGCTTTATTCTGCGAGGTGAGTCTTCTCATTTGTAAGCTTTCTAAGGTAAAAAGCTTATAAATTGATGACCATTTAGGTTGGATCTACTTTATGGTGTTTCTTTGGCTTTTTTAGTCCTTTGATGTAAGGATGAACTTTTGATCTACTCCAGAAGTAGTGGATGTTAGATCTAAGTTCCAATAAAGTTCATTGTTCATAAAAATGCAAACTTTATGGAAAATTTTGGTTCATGCAAGTATTAAGACCCTTATTAAGTTCATTTTTAATTGTTGAGAGTTGGGACCCATTAAAACATGTTGGAGAATAAAAAGACAACTTTATGTTGGAACAATAAATACGATTGATAGATTCTATAGTAAACTTGGCAACTTTTTAGAGGTGGACCGGTTTAGAACCGAACCGGTTAGCTAACCGGTTTTGATTTTATTGACCAGAATCGAACCGGTTTTTTGAATTGGTCCGGTTCGTAAAAAAACCCGGTTTGTGCACGTCTATTTGTATATGACAAATGGCTGATCCATTACATAAATTACTTTTTCGAAAAGCCCAATTGTTTATATCAGCCCAATACTTCGATTACTCCCCTCTTTGGCCATCTCTCTCGATTGAATCGGGGAAGTCATGGGATACGTACTCAGGGTGAGGTTCGCTTCGTTCTTCGCCGGCGCTGCGGTGGCTTCAGCCGGTGGATTCTATTTTCTTCACAAGGATTACAAGGTCGCTCATCAATCTATGTCTCAACAGGTATTCTCTTTCCCTTTTCCTCTACTTTGTGTACCAATTAGTCCCATTACTACCGGTGGTGTATCCCGAATGCGTTATCGTCTTTATTTCAATTTCACTGAGTGATTCTCTCAGTTTTAAAACAGTAATTGATAAATGTTGGTGCTATTATGCTCTGATTCGATATAAAACGCACAAAATCAGAACCCTAGGTAACCGATCAGCATGCCCTTTCCATACATGAACCACGATTAAATTGGATTGTCAGTATGTTATGTGGAGTAGGAAAACAATTTAGTTTTTGTGGGCAATCATTGAGTTTTATCTTGCAGCATGCCGTAGATTATATCTTTGGAAAACATTGGGTTTACATGCTTATATGCTTATAGATCTATCTACCTTCTTTTCTTGAGCTGCAGCTTTTAAATAAAAGCATGCTTTCATTAATTTCAGAAGTTTATGCCATTAGATACAACATTTAGCAAAGAATAAAAGCTTTTGGAGGAGGTAGAAAGACAAAAATCCTTATTATTGTTTGAAATCTTCAGTCTAGAGTTCCATGGCATTTTAGGGATTGTTTCTTACTTTCTTTATAAAAACTTATTTAGTTTGTTAAAAAGCTGTTAATATCTGTGTTGTGAAAAGTACATATATCCAATTACAACATTGTTTCTAAAGTTGTAACAAAGTATTATATCCATGGTGATGTAGATTAATGACTTTTATAAATCTCTGGATGGACGCATCTCTTCTTTGGAAAATCTAAAAGAAATTGAAGCAATGAAACCGGTTGAAGGTGGAGAATAAGGAAGTCAAAGAGTCTTTGGTAGTTCCAAGCATCTGGTTTGACTCAAAATTTACTGAATGTTGTAGTGCAAGCCTTTTTTTGTTTTTTTGTTTTTGTTTTAGTTAATAACAAATGTGGGTTGACTATTGAGATGGAAGACTTCCAGTCAAATTGAAGGATTTTACTGCATAATTATCACTTGTTGATCTTATTTCTGTAATTAAAGATGGATTGTAATTTGTAGCAATACAAAAGATAGAACAATCCATGTGGTATGAAGTGTGATGGGATATGGCATATATGACCCACCAATAGGGCAACATATGGTGCCTTTTCTTTCCAGCCATTAAAAGCATAAACATATGCTTTATCCGATTGAATGAGATAGTTTGATATTCATTCTCATCCATCAAAGAAATGCCTTATGGACATTGGCCAAAAGAGAGGTGATCTACTCCAGAAGGAAAGATTAAGTGACCTTATGGACTATTATTATTACAATTATTGGATATCGAACTTATTCGGATGTATCGATCATGTGCCATGTACTAGTTACATACTTAATGTGTTATATCTTGGTCGACGGGTCATCCACATGAAATTTTTTGATTATTTTGTTAAGTTATTATTAGGAAGGAAATTATGGGGTGTTTGGGATTTGTTTATTTAAAACAATTTATGTTAATTTATAAAATAGTTTATTAATTTATTCGGCGTTAAAACAGAATTTTAGAAAAAAAAATTGTTTGTATTAGCTTATCAGGTATTAAAACAAAATAAGATGAGAATTTGATTTTAATGTTTGGCAGTAAACTCTTATTTTATATGTAATAATAAAACAACTTCTTTAAAATTAGTCAAACAAGTAAATAAGAAGTGACTTATAAAAACTCCTTATTTGAATAAATAAATACTTACGAAATCTTGTTATCCAAAAACTAAAAATTTGTTGTGCCAAAAGCAATCCCAAACACCTCCTGTATCTAGATCTCAAAATTAAAAAGATTACTACTACAAAAATCATCTCACGCTCTAGTTCGTTATCTTGATAGATATTTCCACATCAAGAAGAAGAATACCATTGACATCTACAAATAGATTATAAGAAGTCGGGTTTAAAACCTACAAAACCTCATGCATTTTAATAACCATTTCTCTCGTTTTGATTGGGATGAAGACAATTAGGTTTCCTTACAACCATAATTATCATTGCCAGTTTGCCACCGTAAAACTATCATTTCCATTTTCTTTTCTAAAAACATGTATAAAATTAGCGTTGACAAAGAGAGGTATTATAGCTCCTATTGCATCGTGTTTTTTGTTTATGGTTTATACAAATCCGTTGAACGGGAAGAGAATTTATATTTATTATTTGTTTCAAGCCCAAAAAATTTCGTTTCACCCTAATTAACTACAAATATGGTTTTACAGTTGGAAGATGAGGAAGAATAAACAATATTTAAAGCAGTGGCGGAGCCATCGTCAAAGTAAAAGGGAATCCCAAACTGATGGATTCGGTTTTTCGGTTTTCCAAACTCAGTTTCGGGTTTAAACCCAAACCCATTCGAAAGTTTAACTTGTTGAAAATTGAAAAGCTTTTGTTGCTTATATAACATATGCATAGGAGCTATGATTCAATGTTATAACCAATATAGAACAATTTTAGAAGTTTAAAAACCAAATTGAAAAACTGATAAACACAATAAAATACACACATATAAGAGCTAAGATTCAAAATAAAATACACCCGGTCTAAGCAATACGATATCTCCATTATCATTAGAATCAAACGCATGCAACTTTGTCGGAAGCTTAGCCATTACGGGTTACGAGGCCCAATACGGTCACCCCGGCAGGCATGGATTGTGGCTTAATAAATTAAGCTATGGTTTTTAGCATTACTCATTTATTTATTCTGTCCAAATTAAGTCAGAATAGCCGCATAAATAAGGTGTTAACGTATCAATTTGATTAAGTTAAAAAGCAACTGCGTTTTACTATGGGTTTATATACCATTCATCAAACCCCTACACTTGCCGAGAAATTGCTAGCGTACCTCTAGTTTTAATTCAATTTCCTTGCATTTTCGACACCATTAATAAGAATTGCATATATAAAATCCTGAAAACCGTAGCAGGATACGGGTAACAATCAAAGAAGATGTAGACGTGAAGTGAAGGGGATATGCAGGATTTAGGTAAGGTGTTCTCCACAACTAAGAGTGATGATGAGTGAGTGTGTCACTAGATAAAGATAGAAGAGCATGTGATGTCTCCTTTTCCTTTTAACAATCGCCATCCATGACATAGGTCCCTCCTTCAAGAAAGGTAGCTAGCCAGGTATAAAAGGAAATTTTCTATTTTTATAAATTAATTGAAAAGAAAAAAAGGGTATTTAATCTTGCATAAGAAAAGAAGTCGATGGAAGGGGAGATGATGGTAACGATGATGACAATCAATGGAAGAACAGCAACCTTCCATGAAAAAGATCATTCTTACTCCACTCTCATATCTATCCCTATCCCTACCCCTACCCCAGCCCCAACCTGGAAACTGTACGAAAATCCGTTCTATAGTTGTCCTCAAAACCACCATCAAAATCAAGAAAAGAAAGAACAAGAACAAGAGGTAGAAGTGGGTCAGAAGAAGCAACTCCATCTTCTTCATTTGCCTGTTTCCACGCGTAAGATTGCGACATCTTTCTGGGATCTTACATTCATCAAGCCATTCATGGATTCAGAGCTCGACACTGCTCGAGCACAGATCATGGAGCTCAAAGAACATCTTGAGAACGAACGAAAAGCTCGTAAAAAGGCAGAGTCTATCAACAAGAAGCTGAGAAAGGAGCTGAAAGGAAAGGATGCATTGGAGAAAGTATGCGAAGAGCTTGCAGCGGAGGTGTCATGTAGTAAGGCTGAGATAAGCAGGTTAAAGATAGACATGGAAGAGGAGAGGAAGATGTTGCGTGTGGCTGAAGTATTGAGAGAGGAAAGGGTCCAGATGAAGCTCAGTGACGCAAAAATCATGTTAGAAGAAAGGATATCGGAATTGGAAATCACCAAAATGATCCACAAGAAGAATGATGGAGATCATCATCGGGAACAAAAAGAGCAGAATAAATGTCTTGTTCTTTCGAAAGAGAACCGCAGTGTCATATCTGAAAAATCACTGAAATTAAAAGGTAGAAAGGTGTCATTAGAGCCCGAAAATCCTCACATAAAACGTGGAATCCGAGGGTTTGTGGAATTCCCGCGAGTTGTTAAGGCGATCGGGTCAAGAGGCAGACATTTGGGTACAAAATTGGAATGCCAGAAGGCTCAACTCATGATACTTCTAAAACAGAAGACACAAATCCAGTCCAACAATCTAATCATGAATTAAGTGGATTATTACTTGACTACATTAATATTAATATTCTTTTTCCTTCTTATAAACAATTATTGATGTGGTTTGTGTTGATTAAGTAATAATCCCTAAACTTATCGCAAGATTCAAGTAAACGGGTGTGATCGTTTTCATGTGTTATGTTATAGATTTGATAGTAAATGGATATCGTGTTTGTGATATTGATGGAGTGTTTGTTTGTAAAATTATATTCGTTTCACATGGTGGTAATGATTTAAGGACCATCGGCACATGCTTCACTTTAACCTCAATTTTAGGTGGACCTATATATATATATATATATATATATATATATATATATATATATATATATATATATATATATATATATATATATACACACACACACACACACACACACACACACACACACACACACACACACACACACACACACACACACACACACACTAGCAGTGTACCCGCGCAAAGCGGCGGGGCGTGTTTCTCTACAAAAATATTATGTTACAAAAAAAAAAAATACATATAGAAGACAAAATAATCAAACTATGGTGTTATTTGGGAGATAAAGTCATTTTCTGTTCCTGGACGGTGGGTTTTATAGCAGAGGAGGGAACAAAGAGGTATATGCGATTAGATGGATATTTGAATTAACATGCTAAATTTAAGGATATCTATGAGGGTTCAAAATTTGAATAAATCCGGGATTTGAGGGAACCATATCAAATTGCTGAGAAATATAAGGAGATTTGATGATAAATATTTGAATTCAAAACGTGGTTAAAATTTAATATTATTTTATTAATGTTTACTTGTACTATCAGTTTCATCATTTAGACGTTTTAAAAAAATATTATTATTATAATCAATCTATTTTTAGAAATAGTTAGATTTCTTTTATAAGATAGTATATATATATATATATATATATATATATATATATATATATATATATATATATATATATATGTTATGAATTAAGTAGGGATGAGCAAAAGCCGAACCGAAAACCGAAAAACCGAAAAAAACCAACATAACCGAAACCGAAAAACCGAAACCATAGCAATAACCAACGGTTTAGGTTTGAATTTTACAAAAACCGAAAAATAACGGTTTGGTTCGGTTTTGACGTATAAAACCGCCCATAAAAACCGAATCGAACAACATATATATTATTTATATTATGATTTAAACTTTTAGTTTTAGACTTTAGACTTTATCTCTTTAATACTTTATGTTTATTTCAACACACTGTTAATGGTGTTAAACTTTGATCTTTTGAACACTTTTATGCTTTTATAATACTAGAATTCGTACTCTTTATTTTAGTATATTTAAAGTAGATACAATACTATTTATCACAACATATTTTCACTAGGTTTGAACCCAAAAACTTGAAAAAAAAAACAGGAGCTCATAAACCCACGGTTTAAAACCGAAAACCCATAAATCTAACCCGGAAAACCGAAAAACCGACCCATGCAAAAACCGAACCTATATGGTTTTAAAAACCGAAAAATCGACTTTCTACGGTTTGGTTTGGTTTTAGCCAAAAACCGACCCAAACTGACCCATGCTCATCCCTAGAATTAAGCGTAATTAATGTAACTTTAAACTAAAACAGACTACTAAACTTTGATAATAACTTTAATTGAGAAGAAACAATATGTAGAGATAATATGAAAGTTATATCTCTTATAACTTTTTGGTATATTTCATTCTTTACAATGGAAGAGTATTTATACTACAAATTTTACTAACATATAATTGTAACTAGTTAAAAATATTGACAAATTTACCATGCACCAATTATTATGTCATCCACCAATTATTTACAATACCACCAATTATTTACAACACTCCCCCTTGGATGATATCATTTTAGCATTCAACTTTGATGTACTGCCTCATTAAAAACCTTGCTAAAGAAAACCCAGTGGGAAAGCTTTTAGCGAAGGGAAAAAGAGTGCAGTGTATAGTTGACTCCCCCTTATTTAGACATCCGTCACATTATGTTCTATGCACATGTCACATTCCGATGCCATGAGCATGTTTTCTGAAGATTGTCGTAGGAAGTGCCTTCGTAAAAAGGTCTGCTGCATTGTTACTGGATTGAACATATTTGATTTCAACTTGATGGTTCTTTATAAGCTCTTAAGTGTATTCAAAAAACTTTGGAGGCATATGTTTTGTTCTGTCGCTCTTGATATAACCCTCTTTCATTTGAGTGACACATGCTGAGTTATCTTCATAAATTAAAGTTGGACATATATCCTTTTCAAGTCCACATGAAGTTAAAACTAGTTGTGTCATCGATCTTAACCATGTACATTCTCTACTAGCTTCATTTATTGCAATTACTTCAGCATGATTTGAGGATGTGGCAACAAGTGTTTGCTTTTGAGAACGCCAGGAAATTGCAGTACCTCCATTCATGAATACGTATCTAGTTTGAGATCTATCTTTATGAGGATCGGACAAATAACTTGAATCTGCATAACCAATCAAGCCTTGTTTTGAATTGTTAGGGTAAAATAACCCTAAATCACTAGTTCCTCGAAGGTATCGAAAAATATGTTTGATTCCATTCCAATGTCTTTTTGTTGGGGCTGAACTAAATCTTGCTAACAAGTTTACAGCGAAAGAAATGTCAGGTCTAGTACAATTGGTAAGATACATAAGAGCTCCAATTGCATTTAGATATGACACTTCTGAACCAAGGACTTCTTCATTTTCTTCGCATGGACGAAATGGATCCTTGTCAATGTTTAATGATCTAACAACCATTGGAGTGCTTAAAGGATTTGCATTATCTATATTGAAACGTTTCAAGACTCTTTCTGTGTAATTTGATTGATGCACAAGTATTCCGTTAGGCATATGCTCAATCTGTAAACCAAGACAATATTTGGTTTTTCCAAGATTTTTCATTTCAGATTCCTTCTTTAAAAGTTCAATCACTTCAAGGATTTTTTTATTCGTTCCAATGATGTTCAGATCATCATCATAGACTGTTATGATCACATATCCAGATGTTGTTTTCTTAATAAATACACATGGACAAATAGTGTTATTTTTATAACCTTTACTTGTCAAATAATCGCTTAAACGATTGTACCACATGCGCCCAAATTGCTTTAAACCATACAAAGATCTTTGTAATTTTATAGAATACATTTATTTGGGTTTTGCACTTAATGCTTCAGGCATTTTAAATCCTCCAGGGATTTTCATATAGATATCACTATCAAGTGATCCATACATGTAAGCTGTAACAACATCCATAAGACGCATCTCTAAATTTTTAGATACTGCCAAACTTATTAAATATCTGAAAGTGGTTGCATCCATTACTGGTGAATAAGTTTCTTCATAATCAATTCTAGGTATTTGAGAGAAACCTTGAGGAACAAGCCTGACCTTGTATCTTACAATTTCGTCTTTCTCATTTCTTTTTCGTACAAAGATCCATCTATATCCTAATGGTTTCACAACTTCAGGTATGGGGATAATGTTCCCAAAAACCTTTCTCTTGTTAAGAGAATTTAATTCAACTTGCATAGCTTCATTCCATTTAGCCCAATCATTTCTTCTTTGACATTCAATGACAAATTGTGGTTCAAGATCATCATTCATAATATCACATGCAACTGAATAAGAAAATATTGCATTTATACTGTCAGTTTCATTTTGGTCACATATTCAATTTGGCTGACCATAATTTTGTGCATCATCCTCTTTTCCTGGGGGAATTTGAATAATTCGTGTTTCTCCAAGAACACTTTCCTCATGATCTAGTGCATTTTCTTATCTTCTTCTTTTTTGTGGGTTCTTATCCTTAGAACCAAATGGCCTTCCACGCTTCAGGGGTGTTTTAGACTCTTGAGTGACTTTATCATAAGATTGTCCATGTGGAATGTTAATTCGAGTTGGAACATTGACAGCTGGTATATATGATTTAGTCACCCTTTTTGTGTCAGTAAATGCATCAGGTAATTGATTTGCCATTTCTTGGAAATGCATTATCTTTTGAACTTCCATATCACATTGCCTTGTGCGAGGGTCAAGATATGATAAAGAAGGCTCATGCCATGATACATCCTTTTCCATAATCTTCTTTTCTCCACCTAATGATGGGAAATTTGCTTCATCAAATTGACAATCTGCTAGGCGTGCTGTGAAAACATCACCTGTTAATGGTTCAAGATATCTTATAATAGAGACTGACTCATAACCAACATATATTCCCAACCTTCTTTAAGGACCCATTTTTGTCCGTTGAGGTGGTGCGATAGGGACATATACTGCACACCAAAAAATTCTCAAATGGGATATATTTGGTTCTTGGCCGAAGGCAAGTTGTAGTGGAGAATATACATGATATGAACTTGGTCTTATGCGTATCAATGATCCAGCATGTAAGATTGCATGGCCCCAAACAGAAACAGGAAGTTTGGTCCTCATTATCAATGGTCTAGCTATTAGCTGGAGACGTTTAATCAGTGATTCAGCTAAACCATTTTGTGTGTGTACATGAGCAACTGGATGCTCAACAACAATTCCGATAGACATACAATAGTCATTAAATGCTTGTGAAGTAAATTCACCAGCATAATCAAGTCTTACTCTTTTGATAGTATAATCAGGGAAATGTGCCTTTAATTTAATAATTTGGGAAAGAAACTTTGCAAATGCCATATTACGACTTGATAATAGGCAAACATGAGACCATTTGCTGGATGCATCTATTAAGACCATAAAGTATCTAAATGGTCCAGCTGGAGGGTGAATCGGTCCACATATATCACCTTGAATTCTTTCTAGAAATCTAGGTGATTCCCTTTCAACTTTCATTGGAGAGTGTTTTATAATTAACTTTCCAAGGGAACAAGATGTACATGGTTTTATGCTATTAGATTGAGGGAACTTTTGGTTCTTCAATGGATGCCCATGTGTATTCTCAATTATCCTTCACATCATTGTTAATCCTGGGTGGCCCAACCTATCATGCCATA